AAAAAAAAAAAAAAAAAAGCCCCCTTAGACAACACAAAGTAAGTGGCTCGGTGCCTGTGGCTCAAGCAGCTAAGGCACCAGCCACTTATACCGAAGGTGGCAGGTTCAAATCCAGCCCAGGCCTGCCAAACAACAATGACAGCTGCAACCAAAAAATAGCCGGGCGTTGTGGCAGGAGCCTGTGGTCCCAGCTACTTGGGAGGCGGAGGCAGGAGACTCGCTTGAGCCCAGGGGTTAGAGGTTGCTGTGAGCTGTGATGCCACAGCACTCTACCCAAGAGGATAGCTTGAGGCTCTTGTCTTTAAAAAAAAAAAAAAAGAAAGAAAAAGAAAGAAAGAAAGCTTCCACAATATCCTACATTACCCTGTGTTTTAAAAAAATGCAGTAGTTAATGCAAGTGCAAACACGAGTCAACAATGTTTGAGTATGAAAACACAAGTTAACTGGTGACCCATCAACAAGGTGTTAGCAAAAACTGAACAAAAACTTTAGCATTAATCCTTATTAAAAATCTTGTTACTACCTTTTTGAAACTGAGGGCACTAGAGTAACTTGCCCAAGATTGCACAGCTAGTGGGTGGTAGTATGTTTCCCCAAAAATAAGACCTACCCAAAAAATAAGCCCTAGCAGTATTTCTATGCATTTGTTAAATATAAGCCCTACCCCAATAATAAGACCTAGTGATGGGCATGACTATGCAGTATATCTGCATAGCCATGCCATGCATTTCGGCACAGAGAGTAATAAGACATCCCCTGAAAATAAGCCCTAGTGTGTATTCTTGAGAAAAAATAAATATAAGACAGTGTCTTATTTTCAGGGAAAGACAGTAATTCTAAGATCTGAGCCCTCAGCATCATGGCCAACATCATGTCCTGTTCTTTGTATGATTGACCCCTGTGCTGCTACATGGCACTTGGTCCCCCCATACCTGGCACATGAGTACAAGATGCATTTTTGAGGTACACTGAGGAATGCAAGCCTGAAAATTCCATCACAGAGAAAGAATCTGGATTGCTACCCTTACATCCCACCAGTCACCTGCCAGGCTCTGCCTTGGCTGCAGACTTGGCCTGCCCATCTCTGCCACTTCATTGAGGCCGAAACACATCCTGATCTCCTGGATTCTCTAGCCTGTTGACTTTGTCTCTCCCACCTCGGGCTGCCCTGCTTTTCTCCCCTCAAGCTCTTGTTCAGGTAAAGACACAGAAGAGGAAGAAGGTTAAATAACTTGCCCAAGGTTACTTCAGGGGCAAGAGAGCTAGCAATAACATGACTCAAAGTTTCAGGTGAAATTCTGCTGGCCCTATAGTTCCATGAGGGCCACGATTCTGTCTGTCTGGGTCACGGTATCAGCAGCACCAAACACAGTGGCAAGTACACAGCACATGCTCAGTATAAGCCCAAGAAGGGCGTCCCTGAGGGGCCTTGTATCTGCTTATGTCCTAATGTAATCCTCTCTCCTCAGCACTGCACCCCAGGTACTGAATACCAGCTCTCCAGCCCAACAGGCAGAAAATGAAGCCAAAGCCAGCTCTTCTATCTTAATCAACGAGTCAGAGCCTACCACAAATATCCAAATACGGCTTGCCGACGGCGGGAGGCTGGTGCAGAAATTCAACCACAGCCACAGGTACTTCATGCTTTGTGCCCAGTGTTCCAGAGATTCCTGCAAGTGTGTGAGAAGTGGGGAGCCATTCTTCCTCCTAAGCACCACCAGGCCCTCCATGCTTTCCCTGAAGGATGTGGTAGGCAAGAAGGGACTGCAAGCCTGCAGCCTTAGGTTCTGGTCCCCACTCTTAACCAGTGAGGCCAGAGCCTACTCACTTCCCTCCTGTGGATCGCCTCATCTATAAAATCAGGGGATTAGATTCCTCAGGGGTTTTTTAGCTACCACGCTATATTCAAAGGAGTCTTATACTAAAGTTCAAATACAGAAGAGAGAAAATCAGTACTGCCATGTTTGATGGGGGGGGGGGTGGGGCAAGTAGCATCCCACCCACTTGGCTGCTGCTTCCTCTCTCCCCTAAAAGGACCTCTGAAAACCACCAGGCCAATAAGGTCCTTTCTAGGCCTGGCCGTTGAGAATCCTGGGAATTCCTTGTCTTAGACCATCTGGGCTAGGTCAGGGCAAATAGTCAATGCCTCCCTTATTTTAAAGATGGGGGAAACTAAAGCATGACAAAATTAAGAGCCTGAGTGGGGAGGCACTGGAGGACTGTTGCCAGTAAATATATTTGGCAGTGTCTTGCTCTAGCACACAGGTGTCTAAATTTCATCACTCATGGGCCAACTAACCCAAAACCCACATGTGTTAATGGTTTGACAAACCTTGAGTACTGACTGGGTTTACCTATGAGGTAAAGGTGTGAAATAAACCCCAGGTGTGAGCCCAGAGCACCTGGAGGCTTATTCAACCTTTTTCATTAAGACCCTTCATTACACTTAGGTGCTGCTGTTTAAAAGACATAGCCCATCCCACTGATCTGAGCTGTCAGCTCCAACACATTGCTCAGTCCCGGGTGGGTAGCCCACACAGCCAGCTTAGCTGGGAGAGAGTGTTGGTTTGCTTAAAGGTTTAGGCTGCGTCTTGCATATCCAGGCCCTTAGATGTGCCAAACTGTAGATGGCATAGATTTAGGGCTTGGGGCAGAAGGAAACTTTGGTTTAAGTGCTCAAGGGAAGGAGACTTTGTGTCCAGATGATTTCATCCTCATATGACTACTAGGTTCAGGAGACAAGCAGTGTCTGCAGAAGGGATCCCAGCACTGAAGAGTTGTGGGTCTTCTCTAATCTTTCTGACAAGTAGTTTGAGTGTCTCCTGTGACATATGAGAGAGACATTTTGAGATGACAATAATCAGATCATCCCAGAAGCATTTACTCACAACCTTGATCAGTACTGTGGGGAGGTCAGGGCACAGAGGCCAGGAGCCGAGGAGGGCAGCTCTCAGGAGGTGGGATTTGCGCTGAGGCTGAGATATGATCAGGATGATAAGGGGATCAGGCAGAGCCTCTGGACAGAAGAACCTGAATGTTGGAAGGGAGTGTGGCCTGATGAGCTACAAGGAAGGAGAAAACAGGGGGAAAGAGGGTGACATAAAACGCCGTAGTAAGGGTGTTAGCATTTATCCCAGGTAAAATGGGAGCCACAGCGAGTAGCTTTTGGCAGGGGAAGAGACTTGGACCCATGAGCTTCCAGGTAGCTTTGGCAAGCTCTCTGGGGAAGGGTGAGGGAGAAGATTCAGTAGGTGGCTCCTTCCACAGAGTGGGGTTGTGGCCTGCAGAGAAGGGCACTGCTCACCACTTCCCCACCTCCCCTACTCCCACAGGATCAGCGACATCCGACTCTTCATCGTGGACGCCCGGCCGGCCATGGCTGCTACCAGCTTTGTCCTCATGACTACCTTCCCGAACAAAGAGCTGGCTGATGAGAGCCAAACCCTGAAGGAAGCCAACCTGCTCAATGCTGTCATCGTGCAGCGGTTAACATAACCACCCGGCCAGCTGCCGGGCCTCCCTCCTGTGTCTCCCATGGTCAGCGGCAACGCTCTGTGGGGATTACCCTTCCTGTCCCCTGTGCACACCCAGCAGTCCAGTGCCACGTCTCCTCCGTAGCTCTGGGTTCTTAGATCTCGGTTGGACATTTGTTTTCTCCTTAGTTGCATTTCCTGGGTTTTTGTGATGATCAATGGACTTTAATGAAAAAAAATAAAAACAACCAAAAAAAATTGAAGGAATATCACCAGCATGTTATACAGAAACTTTCCCACTGAAGCACGTTCTGATTGCTTTAAAAGCATTTATTTTGGGGGCCTGTGGGAGGAAATTTCCTTCATCCTCCACATAAAAATATCATTATGGCACACAACACTCAGGCACTAGTCTGCCCCACCCACCAGCCCTAAAGGTGACTACCAGAGGATTTCTTTTCTATGGCAGGAGGAGGACATGAGGAAGAGGCTTTGCCACCACGTGCTCCCACAAGAAGATATCACTTGCCCAAATAAGACTGGGCAGCAGCCAGAGTCCCTTGAAGTATGAGGTTGGACCTAGATGCACACAACCTGTCCAGGTGAAAAGAAATAGCTCACTCAGGTCCTGGGAAACGTGATCTTGTCAGGCCCCAGCAGTTGAGATTCTGTTACACTGGCCTGCCCGCCCTTTCCTTCCTCACCATACAGGCTGCTCACCTGCTGGGGGTTCTCAGCTGCTGACAGCTTTACTTACATTGTGTGCAGAAATGTGAGTGTATTAGGAGGTAGGTGGGGTGATTTTTCCACTAGGATACAGCTCATGCCAACCCAAGTGAGTTTAGAATCAGGGTATCTTGGCCTAAAAGAGAAACAAAACTAAAATGCCTTTGAGCTGTTCACTGATGGGTGACCAATCACCTGTTGAAGGGGGGGGTGGGTCTCCCATGCTGCATGCCACTGTCACGGGTTATATTTGCAAGAGGCGTCTGCTGAGTAAATTTTGAGGGTGAGTGTAACATGAGCACAGGGCTTTGGTTAGCAGGTTCTGCTTCTCAGTCGTGCTCTGCCCAGCCTATTAAAGACCCTCTACCGCCTAAGTTTGCTTCCTGTACAAGTTAGGGAGGGAGTACCATCGGTTCTTGGGTGGAACTCTAACCACCTCCCTTTTAAGGAAACCAGACTTATCATCAATGCTGGCTCAGAATCTCCTGATTTGGAATCATAATGTGCCTGGATCCTCTTTCAAGCAGACATCAGTCATTTTCTCTTTTCTGCTTCAGCCCCTGCCGCAAGCTGAGAACCAACACTACATGGGCCCAGCACGCAGAAGGGCTTGTTTCAGCCAAGGCCCAAACTGAGAAAGGGACTTGGCATGGTGCTTTCCATCCCAAACTGGCAGTGGCCTGCAAAGGCCGGGGAATCTGCCACAGAGTTACTGGGGAAACCACATACAGGTCTGGAAAAACTGTAAACTGTCACCCTGACTGTTAAAAACCAGAATGAGGACAATGGAGTTTTGTACTTTCTATTGGGTTGCTTTGAAGGAACCTTAACAGCAACCCTCAGAAGAATTTAGTGCGGCACTGTGGCTCCACTTTACAGTGCAAAACGTAGAAGCCATGTCACACGGCCGGGAGGAGGTCAGGTGCTGCCTATCAGCTTCTACAAACCACGTCTCAACAAGCCGGCCATGCGCTCCAACCCCAACCACCAGGTCCTCATTGTATGTTTGGCCCCCTCCCACCCCATTCTCAGGATTCCTGCTTAATTTATTTGTACGCACCAGAAGAAGTCATAAAGAAACCCTCACAAACAGCATCATCTGGAAACATCTGCAAAGAACCCATAGGAGCTCTGGGAAGTGAAGCAAGCAATTTAACTGCTGCCTTACTGATGTATTTACACATCAGGGTGCAGACAGTCCTCTGACCTTGTGCCAGGTACTGTCATTGTGGGCCACAGAACCTGGGGTCACACTGATCTGGCTCCAGCCTGAGGAGGGATATTTCCAGCCCTAGTTTTCTGTTCCACGTGGCCCAGATGGAAGGGTCCATTCACTCAGATAGGATTTCACAGGTTAAATACATACACACACATACATATATTCAACACTCACTGGTTCTGGGGCTTCTGAATTCAGGGCAGTTGTTTTCAGCTGGGACACTCTGCATTATTCCCAAACTTGGTTGGTAAGGAAACCTCCTGGCATTAAATGGAGAGGGCCAAGGACATATTGTAATGCGTGGGATATATCCTGGTGGAGAAATAACCAAAATTCATCAGAGTGCAAAAGGCAATTTAAAGGTCATGATGCCCTTTCTAACAAGTGTAATTTAAACAAGTATCTCCTGGGCTGGGCATGATGGCTCACGCCTGTAATTTCCAAGGCTTTGGAAGGCTGAGGTGGAAGGGTGGCTTGAGACCAGTCTGTGCAACACAGCCAGACCCCTGCTGCTACAAAAAAATTATTTTAAATGTGGCTGGGCATGGTGGTGTGCGCCTATAGTCTTGGCTACTCAGGAGGCTGAGGCAGGAGTTAAAGGCTACAGTGAGCTGTGATGGGGCCACTGCACTTCAGCCTAGGCAACAGTGAGACTCTGTCTTGAAAACAAACTAGTCTGCACTATGGGACATCAGTTGTTTGTTTGGTCTTGTTAACCACGCCCTTCCCTGTAGGTAGTCTTGCACAGACCTGGCTGCTTCCTCAACAGATGGCCATGGGAGGAAGCAGGCTTGTGGAGCAAGAGCTGGGCACATCTTTATGGTTTGGGAGAGCATTGCCAAAGTGCCTTCCAGAGAGGCAATGACCCTTTTCATACCCACCAACAGAACAAAGCATGGCCTTGCCTGCCAGGAGCTTGAAGATGACTTGGAGCTCATTGAAGGGAAGCAGCTGGTGCAGAAATGTGAGTTTCCAGCTGCTCCTTTCTGACCACCTGCATTTCAGTGGGAACTGCTGACTCGGGACTGTTTCCCAGGCCCAAGTGAAAGAGCTTCCTAATTTAAAAAAAAAAAAAAAAAAAAAGATCGGGCGGCACCTGTGTCTCAAGGAGTAGGGCGCCAGCCCTATATATGGGATGTGGTGGGTTCAAACCTAGCCCCAGCCACAAACTGCAACAACAACAAAAAAAGACTGGGTCTGGCTCCTGTCTTAGGGTCTGTGGCTGGGCCTCCCAGCCCCCTCTTCCAGGACACAGTCTTCTCCGGCCAGGCCAGGGAAGCAGAGTAAAACACAACATCTTTGGCTTGGGTCAAGGTCTGAGCCAGCCCCTGACCTGTGTGACTTGCCTCTGTTTCTCTTCCTCATGCCACGTCCAGTCCATCCGCACATCCTCTAGGTGCCCCTTATCCTGCAACCTCCCAGGCCAGCCCCCATCCTCCCTCACACCTGTGACCCAACAACCTCCTCATCAGTCCCCCACCTTTTGTCCTTGCCCCATCCAGGCGGAGGGCTCCTTTTGCCAATCACTCTCTCCTTCTACTGTCCTCAGGAGCTTCCCAGTACCCCTGGAAACGTCTAAGCCCTGCAGAGTTGGTTCTCGCCTGCTCCATCTGATAAATACTCTCTATGTATTACACGTGGTTGTTGCCTTGGTCCCTCTGCTAGATTGTGAACCCCACAAGGGCAATGATGTATCCTGAGCAGCTGGCACAGGGCCAGACACAGCAGATCCTCAACAAATAACCAGCTGGGTGAACCTGTGAAATGGAGACAACCCTCCTGACATAATGTATGGAAGGCAATAATACTTGAAGCACCCCCACATTTAAGCACTAGATAACTACGTCTATCCCTCCCTCCCAGAGCAGGTCTCAGTCAGCCACAGGGTGGCATCCTTCTAAAGGGCACCTGTGGCTTCAGGTTCTTCCTGTACAGGTGCAGAGGCGCTGAAAACACATTCGTCTGGGGCTGGGAAGCAGGTGCGAAGGGAATGGCCCCAGCCCCTTCCCCCACTGCCCCAACTGGACTAGGAGTTGCATTAAGGACCCATTACCCTCCATACTGAGCACCTGAGACCCTCAAGGCCCAGACTAGGCCTTCAACTACTGCTGGTAATGACAGCTATTGTCAGTTTGACAGTAACCCAAAGGTACTATGATTATCTCATTTTAAGGAAGATGACACTAAGGCTTAGTGGGGTGAGGAGACTTGGCTGAAGTCACACACAGGCCAAACCTGTAAGAGACAGAACCACCTTTGAATCGACTACCTGGAACCAAAGCTACGGCCCTTGACCATGAGGTTCTATTGCTGTGAGAAAGGTAGGCCTAGAGCAGGAGCAGGAGGGTGACCACGATGCAAGGGGGGCTGGGGGGGAGTGGGGGGAGGACAGAGAAGACAGAGGCCTTCTTGGAAGAGGACACCCATGAGCTGGGTTGTAAAGGATGATTAGGGTTTGATTCTTTGACAGGGAGGGCAAAAAATCCTCGAGAGACAAACCCAGAGGGCATATAGAGGTGTGGGGTAGACGGATCCGACCTTGAACTTGGCTTCCACTTTTTATCAGGTTTAACCTTAGACAAGTCACCTAAGTTTCTCTGAGCCTTGGCTTCCTCAGCCATAAAAGACGGATAATAGTAGTTCCTAGCGCTTACACTGTGAGGATTAAAGATGTCTGTGAAGCACTTGGCACACAGTAGGAACTTGAAAAATGATCATGGCTGCCATTCACAGAGCCCTTACCATGCCAGGCACTGTTAAACAATGAAGCACATTAACAATTAATTCTTAACACTTTGGTGAGGCAGCTGCATTTGTTATTCACAGTTTAAAGAGGAGGAAACAGTACCTTACAAACTGTAGGCACCCTATAAATTAAATCTGGTGGATAAATGAACCCAGAATCAAAGAAGAAAAAGCTCTTCAGGGACAGACTGCTCGTCAGTGACAGAGTTAGGATTCGAACCACAGTCCTCTCAGTCCACATGCCTTCTCCACCAGGAGCTTATTTTAAATCAGATCCTGGTGAATCTCCCACAGCAAGAAAAGCTCAGTCTTAGAAGTCAGCCTGCTGGCTGCTGGCTATGTCACCCTGGGAAGTTTCTCTGTTTGATCACCCATGTGACAGTATAGTAAGATGGAACTACTTCTGTCTCAGTTGAGCTGGGTTCCAAAGACAATGTGGTGGGGGTAAGGGGGGTGGTATCCCTGCTTCCCAAGCTGCGATCCTGCCCACACGTAGATAGGGCTTACAAAGAAGTGGTTGAAAACCGTGTCACTCCAGACCCTTTCACACACCAAGGACATCAAAGGATAGAGCTGGAGATT